GGCTTATAGTAGAACACCATTCCCCCATGCATAGGCCCTTGCTTAAAGGTCCGGAAATCGAATCGAGTAACAATACCTAAAATATTTAATTAGTTAGGGTAAACTATGATTAAGCGGCCTCTAGTAAAATAGTGTCCATACCAAGGTTATTTCCACCACCACGTAGAGCAACCCATAGATCCGAGTATTCTTGGGCATTCGCATTAAGGATCTCACCCGATGCCACAACAACCTCGAAGTTGACAACATTATCGCATATAAAGCCTTCCCGCGATGAATAAAAGGATAGACCACCTAATAATAAGAACAAGTTAGAATAATCACTCAGATGTGCCTGTGTTAATGCATACCTTGTGTTGCTAGCCCCCCAATACCACATGACGTTGATTTCCCCCCAGTGACAGCCAGGCCATAGGGCTCTAGAAACTCGTAGACGGCTCCCCAACGCTCACCTGCGGTAACCTAGACAACATCATCTTTCAGGGCAAGGCCTTTCAAAGATCGAAGGTCAACAGTAATGCCATTTTGGGCATTCGCACAGCCGGGTAAAGGCTGTTGTCCGGCGGCTCGAATGGCAAACTGGACATGGCCAACAAATGGCTCGATGACGCGCATGAAGGCAGCCACATCTTCCTTGGACTCGGGCAGAAAAATACCAGCGGGGGATATGTCACTCTCAAATCCGGAGAGATAACTGTTGTTTAGGGATTGGTATGCCTCGGCGTCCTCTGGCGCGACGAGGCGAGCGTGCGGTAAGGCCGCTCTGAGGGCTGAGATAGCTTGGGTAACCTTGGAGGCCATGTCGACGCTGGCCACTGATACCTACTTGGAGTACTGACACAAGCAACGGAGTCAGCGGGGAGGGTGAAAGTTCCCCAGAGTCATGAAACAAGAAAGTCAATCTGAAATGGTGCAGTCTAGCTGCTGTTGTAGCTCTTTCTAACCATGAATGAAATCACAAAGGCAGGGGTTGAAGGAAAAGTACCTCGTAATACCTACTTGTACCTAGCGTATTATTAACCAGCAAAGATTATAAGGCCTTGATTGGTTGAAAGCAACAACCGCGAACCGAGTTATGGGATGTTAGAATCACATCATGCAGTATGGCATGTAGGTACTTAAGTATGTACGGTTAGGTACTCCTTCCCTACCTCTTGGTACGGTAGCAGGTACTACCTTACCTACTCCACGCCTTTCACAACCTTGAGCCTCCACGTCTGATGCGACTGCAAGTCACGCCTTCACTTTGTTAGTACCACTACATTTCCGGTATTTCCGTTACAATCTCAAGTTCCCGCAGTAAGGGGGCGGACGAGGCTACGAGCCGACAACACCGGGAATCTTGTCCGCCAGAGCCTGGGCGATAACAATATTCGCAATTGCCTGCGTCCCCCCCTTCTTAGGGTGAAAGGGCCGTTGGAACCACGTCGGTTGCCCTGTACTTCCGCCTGAGCCGTCCGTCTCCACGCCCCCCTGCATCTCAACGCCGAGCCCTGCGTCGGGGGAGATATCCGCCATGGCAGAACCACCGTTCAGCCAGCCATTGATCAATGCCGGGTCGGCGGGGGGGTCGTCGGCGGGCGTGTTGAGGTTCCAGAGCCAGACGTCAGTGCTGTACCACTGGTCCTGGTAGCTGTGGCTATTCTCGCAGAACCGGTGGCCGTTGAACGCGGGGGAGATGTCGATGAACGTGATCCGCGGGTCGGTGAAGTCGCCCACCGCACGCGCGAGGACCTGGTTCACGCGCTCGACCCCGTCATTTATGTCCGTACGCAGCTGGTTCGAGAGCTTGGGCCTGTGCCGCAGCGGGCCGAACGAGATGTCGTCGCAGTAGTTGGCCCCGAGATTGAAGAAGTGCGCGTAGCCCAGGACGTACAGCCGGAAGTTGTCGTTGTCCCTGACCGCGTCGTGGCCCAGCACGTCCATCAGGGTTTTCACCTCGTCATAGTACAGGCCGCCCTCGCCCGGTTTGTTGATGTAATCGTTGCTCCTACCGAGAGATTCCGCGCACAGGCCCGGGCCCGGGTAGTCACCGTAGGTTTCTGAGGGATCGGGCTGGTAGATGCAGTTCTTCACGACGTCGCCGAAGCCGCAGTTGTTGCCGCCGGCGTGGTAGGTGATCATTTGTGGATTGCCTACCAAGTCCATCTGTTTAGGGTTGTCGCCTTGCGCTTCAAATGCGATATTGAAGAGTCTGGCACCTGAGCCTGCATGGTAATGCGGTTAGTATATGTCGGCTACGCTCCTGCTTCAGTTGCATAGCCGCTATTAGTCCGGACGAGTAATGGCTAGACACTGCTCCTGGCTCACAGCCCCCTCTTTTTTCTATTGTGTAAGCCCCTTTATAGCCCTTTCTCCCTACTTCAATATTGCTTATGAAAAGGGGTTAGGTTGTGGAACAATGTGTTTACACAACTGACGGAGAGGTGAACATACAAGCAGCGAAGTGGAACGTCTGAGCACCCGTTGTCCAAGTCGTGTCTCGTTCCATTATAGGGCCATAAGAGTCTTTCCAGCGATGACAACCGTACTTGTCATCGTCATAATCCGTGTGCTGCGTTGTACTATAGGACACACCAGACGCCCACGAGTCTCCCACGGACCCCCATACAAAGCTGTTGTCTCGTTCGTTGATTGGATTTTCGGAGCTTCCAAGGGTTACGGGGCTACCGAGAGCCGTAGGCAACAGACCAAGCACGAGAAACTTGGTGAAAACAGACATCTTGGATGCTCGCAGGCCAAAAATGAAGAGTATATCCGAACTACCTGGACTACCCAAAAGCAGTGGAGTCGAATAACGGCCATTCATAGAATGCTTATATATTCGTACAGGCCGTAGGATGATTTGATTTACTGCTATAGAGCCGTTGGACTTCATTTATCAATGGAATTATCTCACGTATATCTCTCGCCCTGCCGCCGCATCCCTCATCTATACATAGAAAACGAAATGAGCAAACGAGGTTGCCTATCTTGCCTATAGCCACGACGCGGAGGATCATAGCATGATACATGATGACCCAACAACAGCGTTGGTTACAATGGCGTGCGTAATGTGGTCTCATGACAGACAGGATATGACTTGCAGTACTCCTCAGCCTGAACCAACAGATTGATGCAGCGAGGCGCAGCTTTTGAACTCTAGTTGACGAAAACACTAGGCAGATCCCATATCCTCGTTGGAGAACTGTTATTTTGCTTTTATGCATAAGCCCAACATGCTCTTCCTGATCCAGAAATAGAGCCAACAGTGATGCTCGGATCTATAGGTTAGACTTATCCAATAAGATGATGTTGCTTGACTGTAGGGGTTCCGCTGGGCCGTCTAGGTCTAAAGAGACTAATACTTGAGACCCTCTAGAAATAGAATGATTATTATGGCACATGCAAGCTGAGAAGGCAGAATTGCGACGATCGCAGGTCGTTAATTATGCCTAAGTGAAGGTCGTGTAATGTCACACGTACACCGGTTGAAGAAGCTGAACAGGCATTAACACTCGATATTACGGGAAGTCGAATATAGCCTCAAGCAAGGTCACCGGAGGTCAGAGGTTCTAAGCGAAGGTCTTAGACACTGGCCCGAAGAGGAAATACCTAGCGAAGGAAGTGAGGCTATTCAGGGTATCAGAACTAAGCCAAATCCCCCTCACAAGGGGCCAGGATATAGATCTGCACAGGTCACCTTGACTTCATAGTTAACTATCGTATGAATAGAAGACCACCCTTCCAATCCCTCCATACGAGCCCTTGTTACATGGACCTAGAAGCGAATATCCTGGACGTAAAGCCTAACTAGAAAGGAAGTGCCTAAGCGAGAGAAGCGAGGCGATTCTGTGAGAACTGTGACAACGCCCATATAATAGGGGTACTCACTATGCTATTTGTGTTCGACCCTGCGCGCGACTGTAGAGCCAATATTGCTAGAGGTCTAAGGCGCGCAGGGCGATCAAGCGATTGACGCGCGCAAGTAGTAAACCAGGGTCAGATTTTAGTATTCTCGTTGTGTGACTCGTTGTATATTCTGGGGAGCTCCTGTGTGTCTCGAGACTCGAGCTCCCGACTATCATGCATTATACCAAGCTCACGAGCTCGTGGTTGCATAACCCCGCTTGCAACATGGAATCATGACGGCGCTCGCCGGCCAGTCGCAGAAAATCTGCAGCAGGAATCGGTTCTAGAACTGCCTTCAAAATCGCCATCAAATACAAACCGTAAAATAACAGATTGATGTAGGTCAGCCCCCGAATCCTGCCGGCGATGAACTAGCCGAGCCCCAGCTGGCCGAGCCGCATCGGCCTTGATGGCAAAGTTGAATCCTGGCTATTACTGCCCCCACCTCCTTCTTGATCCTGGAAACTGAACAAATTACAAGATTTCCCTGTCGGCCCTTGGTGAAAATATCACCATCGTGGTCTCCTTGGGCAAAATTGTGGATCGTCATGTCATCCAGCGCGGCGAATGAGGATCGGCGAGTTGGCAGTCGTAGTTGGCTAGAATCTGGCCTAGGACCGATTTCATGACTGCTGCCGCGTAGTACCTGCCCGGGCTGTTACGGCTCCGTAATTGCCGCGAACACACATAAGCTGCCGGCGTTAAAAGGAGGCTTCCGCGAAGGTTAAAAAACTACTCCTTAGTTACCAGGGGGTAGAAGGCGCCTGCGGAGGTTGAAAAACCACTCCGGCCGCCAGACTGAATACCTTGGAGGCCAAGGGAACGCGACTCACTGCACCATTTAACACGGATAGGTAGGGGTCTTCGTGAGAACTGGTGTATTTGGGTGTGAGAGCGATAAAGAGAAGAGGAAGCCGAGGCTACCACTTAAGGTGGTGTGTGGCCCTGGCCCTGGCCCTGGCCGTGGCTGTGGCCATGGCCCACGGCCAGTGGCCTGGCCGAGCCGGCCCCCCTCTACCTAACTGTATCAGTTTTCGAACTTGAACCGTAGGTGGGACGGAAGGCATCTATATGTACTTCTAGCTCAGGAAACGCTCCATCAACAGCCAGCCCTACTGGCCTAATGGCTAAGGCGTATGACTTCGTATGTGTCCCCGTGGCCCTTTCGAATTAAACAAAACTAACCTGTTAATTATAGTAATCATAAGATTGGGGGTTCGAGTCCCCCGTGGGGTTTACATTTTTTGTATCAGTTTTTGAACTTGAACCGTAGGTGAGGCGGAAAGCAACTATATGTAGCTAGCTTAGGATGCGTTCCATCACCAACCGGCCCCACTGGCCTAATGGTTAAGGCGTATGACTTCTAATCATAAGATTGGGGGTTCGAGTCCCCCGTGGGGTTTCCATTTTTTGCACTTTTGGGATAATTTAACATCTAACCGACAGGCGCGAAACCCGTTATCGATAAGATAGTTATTGCGTCGGGAAAAGTGCCAGTAAAGTTCCAAGGTTCGTTGCCGTCTCCTTTCACATCAGACCACAACAGGAAGAGTGCATGTGGTCCCTTAGCAGCAGCAGCAGCGCATGCCGTAGTCGTAGTGGTTGGCGCCCCGATAGATGGCACCAGCTGTTAGCCTGCGCTTCCTCGACCGCCGCTGGCCGACGAGTAGTCCGATGTAGCGGCTTCTCCACTGCACCCATCGCACAGGCGCACGTGAACGCTACCAAACGCCCCAAAATGGACGAGAGCGCCGCCGGCAGCGCTGCCACGTACGGCAGATGGACCAAGGATGCCCTGATCAAGCGCATCCTGGACCTGGAGCGCACGTCCCGAGCCGCAGCGCCCGAGCAGGGCACGCCGGCCATCGACGCCGAACCAGGGTCGTCGGAGGCCGCGGCCGGGACAGCAGCCGAAGCGCAAGGGAAGAAGCAGAAGAAGAAGGCCGTGCGCAGCATCGACCCCTCCAAGTACTCGACGCGGCTCATCGCCCTGAAGCTCGCCTATCTGGGCAAGAACTATGGCGGCTTCGAGTACCAGCCCAGCGCCAAGCTCCCCACCATCGAGGAGGAGCTCTGGAAGGCCCTGGTCAAGGCCTGCCTGATCTTCCCGGAGAACCCGGACGAGGTCGACTTCCCCGGGGACTATTCCAAGTGCGGCCGGACCGACCGCGGCGTGAGCGCCTTTGGACAGGTCATCGGCATCCGGGTGAGGAGTAATCGACCCCTGCCAAAGGAACCAGAGGCAAGCCCTGCGTCCGTAAATGATGAGACTACAACCGAGGCCCCAACTCGGAATGCTGGCGGCGAGACAGAAGCAAAAGTAGAAACGCTGGAGGCTGCGCAGAAAGCCCCGGAGCGCTTATTCAACGATTTCATTGATGAACTATGCTACCCGCATATCCTAAACCGGCTGCTGCCACCCGACATCCGGATCTTGGCATGGTGTCCAACGGTGCCAGACTCCTTCTCGGCGCGGCACGACTGCCGGGAGCGGCGGTACCGGTACTTCTTCACACAGCCGGCGTACCCGCCCACTCCAGGGAGCCTCGAGGACCCCGCGCGCCGGGACGGGAAGGCGAACAAGCCCAAGGACGGCTGGCTCGACCTCGAGGCGATGCGCGCCGCGGCCAAGAAGTTCGAGGGCGTGCACGACTTCCGCAACTTCTGCCGCATCGACCCGGGCAAGGACCAGCAGTCCTTCGAGCGGCGCATCTTCGAGAGCGACATCGTCGAGGTCCCCGGCGCCGAGACGGCGCTCCCCTACCTCCGGGACGCCGCGCTGCAGCCCGCCTCCTTCTCCGCCTTCCCCGGCCCCTCAGAGCCCGGCACCACGGCCTCGGCCCCGCCGTCGCCGCCGGCGGAGGGGGAGGTCTTCCCCAAGGTCTACTACTTTCACGTGCGCGGGTCCGCGTTCCTGTGGCACCAGATCCGCTGCATGGTCTCGGTGCTCTTCCTGGTGGGGCAGGGCCTCGAGGACCCCTCGGTGGTGGACAGGCTGCTCGACGTGGCGGCCGAGCCGCGCCGGCCGGCGTACAACATGGCCGACGAGACGCCGCTCGTGCTCTGGGACTGCCGCTTCCCGCGGGACCTCGACGACCCCGAGCGCCCGGACGACCTGGGCTGGGTGCATGTGGGCGAGGAGGACCCGCTTCGCGCGCACGGCCACTCCGGGCTCGTCGGCGGCGTGTGGGCGCGCTGGCGCGAGCACAAGATGGACGAGCTGCTCGCCGGCCAGCTCCTCGGCGTCGTGGCCTCGCAGGCCGACCTCTCGCTGCGCCGCAACCCCAGGGCCCCGCGCTACGTGCCCGCCGCCGGGCAGAGGGCCTTCGAGGGCGGGAACAGGGAGCGCGGCGTCGGCAAGTACGTGCCCCTGCTGAAGAAGGAGCGGGTCGCCTCGCCCGAGGAGGCGTACGACAGGGAGGCCAAGAGGCGGGGGTGGAGGGATGCGGCGCATAGGCGGGAGGTGGAGGCGAAGGAGAAGGCCGCCTTGTTGGAAAAAGAGAAAGCAGATGCGCTATGATCTTGTATGATGGCCATGGCGGCAGTTATAGCTGATGCCGAGCCATGGCTAGGAAAAACTGCAGTGTTCTAGAATAGGTTTGACCATATACACCTCACTAGGGACATAGACGCAACGTACGAAGTAATATATCAAAATTAGACCTTTATTGTATATTGGCCGGGCAGGAAGACTTTGTATGCCATGCCCAGTTCAGGGGTATCATCAACTTTAAGCCCACAAAAACACCTTGAAGAAAAAGGCTCCGGACAACGCCCATGTTAAAAACGCCATGCCATAACACAAACCAACAAACCAACCGACCAAACCTCCTAGATTCCCTCTACGGGCTTAAAATAATTTGGCCTTACCCCTCCCCTCAGCTCTTCCCCTCCGCCATTCCCCCGTACCCATCCCCGCGCTCATACAGACACTCGCGCACGCCCCTCCACACCCTCTCGACGACGTCGGCGCGGGGGCGGAGGCGGGGGAACACGACGACGAGGTCGGCCTCGCCCTCGACGACGACGACGAGGTAGCGCCGGACCTCGAAGCCGCGGAAAGCCTCGTTGACGAGGACGTCGCGGATCTGGCCGGTCGGGATGAAGCGCGTCGTCGTCCGCGTCGTCCACCGCCACGCCCACCGCCCGGGGTCCCCGCGGCCGAGCGCGAGCGACGACAGCCCGCCCCGGCTCGCGCTCGTCTGGATGCCGAGCCCGCGGAGCACGAGGAGCGACTCCTCGACGTGCGCGCGGCGCGTCACGAGGTAGAGCGCGAGCAGGCACAGCGGAACCGCGAACCCCACCCCATTCCCACCACCACCAGCGCCAGCACCAGCACTACTCTGCGCCAGCCTGCTCGCCAGGACGCCCGGGCGCGAGGCGAGGACGGCGCGCAGGGCGCGCTCGGACGGGGACGCCGGAACGAGGAGGGCGTTCTCGTCCGCCGGGCCGTACCCGTACGGGCCCTGCGCCCACGCCGCGCACAGGAAGAGCAGGATGGCGGCCACCAGGCCCGCGCGGGCGAGGTAGGCGGCGCCCAGGGCCAGGCGCAGGGCCGGCGTCGGCGGGGGCAGGGTGGTGACGGTGAACTCGGCGGCCGTGGGCGAGGGGCGCCGGACGCGCAGGTACGGGGCCGTCGTGAGCATGGCCTTTTCTCTTCTTTTCTTTTCTCTTCTCTCTGGTAATGTCTAGATCGGAATCTTCGTGCCCTGTCGTTTCGCGTGTTTCGGTTCTAGAGGGGGCCGGGTTCTGCGATGGCCGTTCGGCGCAAATCAAATTGTCTGGTAGAACGCCGAAAGTAAGGTGCGCCGGTATCGAAATGCGAAGAAAACACAGCCCGTGAGAAGTCGGATTAGCTGGGTTGAACTGATCAAACGAGAGGATGGATGTTGTGGCTACTAATGTCCAGCAGTAAGTAGTAACGAACGAAATTGGCTACGAAGGAACCGTGATGGTTAATCAAGAACCCATCTCGACGCCAGAGCTGGTTGAGCTGGACATGATCCATTCCCAAGAGTAGGATCCATATCACCGATAGCAATACCCAAGCTAGAAGTACGTACCTGAAGTGACAAGAGGGTACGTACCTCTCAAGCAAGTGGGGTCATTCACCGCCCCACATAATCAGTCTCCTCCGGTCCCTTATAAACCCAAATTACCGCGCAAATCTTCGACTGTAATGGTCAATTTGGTTGAAGGCGCTTGCAATTCTCAGACCGTCACACCCATGTCCATAAGAACCCCCGACGCCGCGCCCAGCGCAAATGCCGCGGTGGTCGCCCATCCACTTGGGTAACCAGTGTCGATTGGGTGGCCCTAGGAAATGGAGAGTATGCTTCAGGGAGGCTTCACGCTGCAGAGTATCTCCCCCGTCGCATGGTGTGCTGGAACACGTTTGGCTCGGGGACATGGGGTGGTGGTCTGAGATGGAGATTGTCAACTCCGTTATTCTTTTTTTTTTTATTATTAATTTGTTTGGCCTGCCACCCTTCTCTTCTCTTCACCACATACTTATACCTTTTATATATCTAAATATCTGCAGTTGGCTTTTTCTTATTCTTCCTTTTTAAACAATTCAAGCGTAAAAAAGAACCCGTGCTCAGACCCCGATTCGAACTCCTTCTACGCTCTGTACGGCGCCTATAATAGGTGGGGCGTAGGCAGAGTGGGCGGGCTTGCAGCACCTATTATTAAGGACCTTACAGCGCCTCCACAGGCATACCTACAGACCAAAAGCATCATGTACAGAGTCACTCACTCACGTCTTACGTATTTAATGACGCACTCATGGACACCGTGTAAACGTGCATCAGAATCGACTCGATTCAAATGACCACTCCATCATCAGCTATAGCTACCTAACGAAGACGAACACAAACTGTGACCAACATGCAATGGATAATAGAATGAAAAAGATGACGATAATACCTCCCGCTCTTCCTTCAACAAGCGAAGAGCGAGGAATCCCCCTCCGACAGAGAGAGAGGCATGAAGAGATATGAGATAGTAGACAACAGGGATGCCGTGAGGCAGCACTATTCTTTGAGAGAAGATGATGAATAAATAATAAAATGATCCGACTAGAAAAAAATAATAAAGGAAAAATTGTTTTCTCGCTGCGCTTCCTTCCTTCCTGTCTCGTTTGCATCATCATTCCAATCCATCACCGTAGGTATCATTTCCACCCATCAACCGTCACGTAGCTTTGTGACTTCGTACGCATTGATACCCATTCA